TGAAAATAAAAAGTGCGGAGGAAAGAGGTAGCCACCCTACTTATAGAAAGAGGCAGAAGGCGAACAGTCACCTGCACGAAAATTTGAAATTCAAGAGGGGGAAGGCAGACGAACCGTCACTTACCCCGTGCACCCTACGTCTGTCACAGATGACACGTGAGATTGCCACATCTCATCTGTGAGGGGCAGATGTTTAGGGTGAAAATACCTAAGACACGTGGCCCAATAAATGCTTGACACGTGTCAATCTTTCAGCAGTCTGCAAAGGCCCATTTCCTTTGCAGACACGTGTCCCTTATACCCTTATTGAGGTACAGTTCTCCCTTACTATAAATAGAAAGGGTAGACCTCATTTATGAGGGACGGACATTAATTGCAACCACAAAAAACCAAACAAAGCCTAAACCTACTGAAACGCTCTTGAACCGAGAAGCTTTTACAGTTCTTACTCCACTTCGAAAAGATACTAACTTAATCTTCGGAGGCGGAACTCCCACCCCCCATCCGGAGTCTCCGTTACGTGTGCAGGTACAGGCGCAAGAAGGAAGTCGGCTAGGTGCAAGTACAGGCGTAAGAAGGAAGTCTGCTAGGAAATTGTAACTCTCCCGAAGGACACAGAAAACCCCCAAACAGAAGTGATGAGGCTATTTCCAGTGGGTACTCTTCTCATAGTAAGTTCTATAACGTGTTCAACAAAAGGACCGTATGTGTAGAAGAAAGTATCCATGTCTTGTTTGATGAGATTAACATGTTTAGTAAGCATAATATATGCAGGTTGAAGAAGACTTCGAGATTGGAATGATGAATTTCACTGGAGCTAAGCCAAATGAAAATGCTGAACCAGACTCTTCACATTCTTCTTCTCAAGAGGATGGGTCTGGTACATCAAGGGAGGTTGTCGCTCAGGATAAAAGTAAAATGAGGAAAGTGAATCCAGTGCTCATCCATCTGCAGATGAATTGAAGTAGAGGTAAACACTGTTCAAACTGGTCCACCTAGTCAAAATGAAAATGACATAGGGGGAACTAGTACATAAACTAGTCCAACATATGATAATGATGGGATACATATTATTCATAATAAACCTTTTAAGTATAAGTCCTCTCACCCAACTGATCTCATCATTTGTGATATTTCAAAAGGGGTGCAGACAAAGACTTCTACTATGCAAAATTTTTGTGCCTTTTTCTCATTTTTATCAGATATTGAACCTACTGACTATAAAGATAACTTAATTGATCCGGACTGGATGATGGTTATGCATGATGAATTGAATCAGTTTGAAAGGAATAATGTGTGGCATCTTGAACCCAAAACAGAAGAAATGTCAGTTATAGGAACTAAATAGGTCTTTAGAAATAAATTGGATGACTCATGAATTATAGTCAGAAATAGAGTCAGGCTAGTGGTTCAAGGGTTTATCAACAGGAAGGAATTGATTATGATGAAACATTTGCACCAGTAGCCAGGCTTGAGGCAATTAGAACTTTAATTGCATTTTCTACTGATATGAACTTTAAACTTTTTTAAATAGATGTTAAGACAACCTTTCTTAATGGTTATTTAAAATAGAATGTATATTTTTAGTGATGTAGGGGTTTTTGGGCTCCTAAACCTAATAAAACCCTCGTAGTAGTACGGTGGGGGTTATCAAACACGGGGAACAAGGGTGACCGTATATATGAGCTATTTACTTAATTAAAGGTCTTTTGTGTTTTTGGAGTTTGAGAAATGGTTCGAATTATTACACTACAATCTAATTTACAACTAATAACTACCAAACTAAACATGAGAAATCAATAAACTAAGGTCTAGGGTTATCGGATCCGGGTTCAGTTCATTTCGGGGGAATTACTTCAACTAATTTATAACAAACTAGAGCTAAGGAAGGGGAATCACTCCTCTAATATACTAAAATCCCCTCTCGGATGGACTCAAGCATGGATGCTCGGAATAATAACAACGCCCCCTCTCGGATGGATTTTAATCACTCTTCCAATCATCACCAAAAAAATAAGAAGTTACTAATAAGTTGATTCCTAGTTCAACTACCGACTCTCGTTGTAGTAGTCTCACTAACAATATTGGGTAAGGAAATCGAAGCATAATTAAGTTTTAAACAAAGCCTTATTATGCAATGAAAATACCAATAAATCAACTATGGCCTTTAGTTAATATCTAAGCTCATTAACACCAATATTATCCTACCAAGCACTCAAATCAACCATCAACTATAAGAAAACCCCAAAATATCAAGTATTGAACCCTTCACCATCAAACCCTAAAAATAAAACTACTCACTAATCATGGCTAAATCAACAACAAGCATGAAAATTAAACTAAAACAACTAAACATCATGAATTTAAACTACTAGAAGCTAGAACAAGAGATTAAATAGCATAAAAACATAAACTAAAGTAAATTGCAAGATTGAAGTGAAAGAAGTTACCAAATGCTACTAGAAAATGGAGAATGAGTTGAGTACAATGAGATTTCAAGCTTCCTTAGCTAAATTACCACACAAATGTTGAAGAAAAACTAAGATCTAAGCTAATCTAAGAGAGTTTGAGCAAAAACTAGGAGAGAGAGGCTAATGAGCCCCTTCTAACCTCCCCCTCAAAAATGATACAAAAGGGGTTATTTATGGAAGGGTTTACTAAGTAAATAAATAAAACTAAAGAGAAAAAGAAAATGGAAAAATGAAAAGAAAATGAATAAAGAAAGAAAAAGGAAAAATAAAATAAAAACAAAAACAATCCTAAACTACCCTAGCATACCAAACGCATACCCCCCCTTACATTCCCTGCTTCGTATATTATCATCATCTACATTAATCATTCGATCATCATCAACATCATGCCACTGCACATCATCATACTTCACCATTTTCGCCAAAACATCACAATCATCATCGGCCGTCATCAGGATCATCATCGAAGCAACATCTCAGTCGTTCGATCAACAAAAGCAGAGCATTTTTGGCTTGAATTTCACATAATTTTGGAGCATACGCTCCACTTGTTCGGAGCGGACGCTCCACTTGTTCGAAGCGGACGCTCCACTTGTTTGGAGCGGGAGCTCCAAACTTGCGGTATTTTGGGGTAGGATTTCCTCTGTTTCGGTGCGGGCGCTCAAAAATTCGGAGCAGACGCTTTGAACTCTCGACATTTGACCTTGTTTTATCAATTATATTATACGGAGCAGACACTCTAATTTCGAAAGCAGACGCTTCAATTGTGATCATTATTGTTGTTGTCTTGCCTTATTTGGGGGTTCGAATGGGACTATTTTAGGTGGGTTTGGAGCCTGATTTGAGGGGATTTAAGGGCTGCTATTGGCTGGATTTTGCATGGGTATATGGGTGATGAATTGGCGGTGGTTTAAGGCTGATTTGGGGGCTGGAATGGGCGGTTGTTTAGTGTTGTGGTTGGGGCGGTTTAGAGTAGTGATTATGGTGGTTTCGGGTTGCGTTTTAGAGCTAACATAAGCCTGTAAATGATGGATGGTTAATTAGTGCTGGTTTTAGGTGGAAGTTACTACACTTTGGTGGTTGATCTGGGGCTGGCTATTGGATGTTGTTGTAGCTGTTGTTGTTGCATTGAAGTTGGTTATGGGGGGTCAGGGGGTCGAATCCTAGGAGTAGCATAATGATGATGTTTTATTTTTGAGGCTTGAATGATGGGGTGAAGGTCAAGGGTTCGACCCCTCTTAGACACTATTGAGCTTGCTCAGAATATTCATAAAGCAAGGACCATTAAATCAGACCATTGTGCAAACAACTCTTGTAATGATCTCAATTCTTGCTGAAAACTATAAATCATCAAATGGAGGAACAAACCACCAAAAAGTCATGAGAAGGAAAATTGATCACTAAAAGCAAAGATTAAGCTAAATATATGCAAAAATGACATAAATAGGACAAAATGAACCAACTAAGGACTAAATCGGGGTATAAAAAGGCCCTATAAATGGCCTAAAAGACCACGTATCAAACTCCCCCCAACTAAATCCTTTGCTCGTCCCCAGCAAAACAAACCAAAAACAAACAAAATAAAACAAATAACTATACACTAACTCACTTTTGCAGGAATCACGGTTGCATTTAGCGTACGCAAGAAGCCATTTAAACCTCTTGGTCGTTTAAGAAGACGAGTATGCTCTCGTGAGGGTTTTCAAAGAGATTAACCCACAAGTTGATAAGGGTGCCACGTCAAGGGTTTTCGAAAACAAGGACAACCATTTCATGGGAATTCGGACTATAGAGCGGACAATGGATCACAAGTTTTCCTAACAAGTTAGTAGGGCAAGCTAGGCAATGTCAGGGATTGAAGGCCGCATAGCCAATTCTAAGAGCCTAGGCTCAAGCAACATCCACCAATCACCCCATCTCAAAGCAATCCTCCCTAACTAGTCCAAATCAACCTCCACGATGCACAAACCAACACACAAATCAACACAAATGGAAACAAAGTCCAAGGCTTTGATCTTAACTTCCTCTCCTCACATTGACTCAACCCCCTAAAGTCATAGGATTTTCAGGTTATAACGTAAGGCGTGGTTAGAGGTGGGAAATCATTTAGGAAAGTGGTGCTCAACTCTAGGTGAAGCAACTGATGCACGTTCCTACATCACTTATTCCTTGAAGCAATGAAATATGATTTTCCTTTTGTGCAATGTTCAAGTTTCAATAGATGAAAGTTGCATAATGTACGACACACGTTATCATGAAAACTTCTTCCAAGAAGTTGCTTAAAATTACATAAATAGAAATTCAACAATAATTTACAGAAAAACAATGTTTTCTACTAGATGAATAGCCCATGATTACAACATTCGAGCAGATTCAAGCTTACAACCACGCACTACATATCACTAAGAAGTGATAAACAACTTAACAAAAGCAGCATAAGTAAAGAGCGAAAAAAGATCTAACCTTAGAGCGATATTAGCCTAATATCTTGTTCGAGATTATATCAAACCTTAATCTCGTTCAGCAAACCTAAACTCGGCCCACCCACAAGGACTCAAAGCAAACCTTATCTAATTTCAAAAGAGTCTCAACCTCTTTGGGAGGGTTCAACCCCAATTTATTAGCCTCATTCCATCGATCAAGCCTAGCCAAATCAATGTAAGGTCTATACGCCATGTTCATGTCAAACTGCCTCAAAACCTTCTCATTGGAATCATAATCATCTGAATAGTAAAAGTTCACCAAATGAATTAGACCATTTAATTGGATACTAACACTGTTGATTAATAACTGCTTACTCAAAGTTCATTAATGCTAAATACATACACACTTGACAAAATACTTTTATTGCAAAATCTTTAATTATAATTGACTTGAAAGCAATGATCAACAATAATAATCAAAGTTAGCAAAATTTGATCAACAAAAATAATAAAAGTTCAAAAATATTTGATCTAGCAACAACAATCAAAGTTTTTGCAAAATTTGATCAACAAAAATAACCAAAGTTAGCAAAATTTGATAGCAACAATAATCAAAGTTTTTGCAACATTTGATCAACAAAAATAACCAAAGTTAGCAAAATTTAATCAACAATAATATCCAAGTCACCAAAATTTGACACAAAGATCAATATTAGGCAACAATTTGGAAACAAAAAAGCAATTTTGCAGAATTATATTCAATTAGGCAAATCAAACTTCATTAATAACATCATATACAAAATCTTGAACATTTGTTCTTTAATATTAATAAAATCATACTCTAATTAAAGCTTTATTGCTTTATAGATCACTTCGATCATCATTAAATGTCCTTATATATTCAAGAGGAAACCCTAGCATTGTGTTACCTTAATTTCGAATACAGTTAAGTAATTCACCACATCAATTCATCCAAAATATGAAACAAAACATACAAAACAATTGAAAAAAAATTACTCCAAATTAAACAAAACTAATAACAATAATCAAATAAGATAAACATTTCACGAGTCGCAACAAATTCATACATATATACATCCATTCGACAACACTGATGCAAACTAACAATTACAAAAAAAATCAATATTATAAAACTAAATGAGTGAAATGAAATCGGAAACAACAACAACAACAACAACAACAAAAAGGAAAGAAATTAAAGAATGAAACCTTGAAGATGAAGAGAAGGAGATTGAGCGACGTCATATCCAAGAGAAGAAGAGTTAGGAGTAGTTTTCTTCTTGGAAGAAGGCTTTGAAATGCCAAAATTACCCCTTCTTCTTCTGCTTGAAGAATCCCTTCATGTTAACTTTTGGAGTCACCATTATTGTTTCTCAATGTTCTGAATTTCAAATTTTGAATTTGTTTATGTTGCTGTAAACGGTGAGAATGTTAGATATTGTTAGATTGTTAGGTGTTAAAATTGGTTGATTGGATTAGAGTTTGGGCTTGAAAGTCCAGCTTGATGAAGTTTTGAATATATGGGCCCTAGTGTTTTGGACTTGTTATCTGGCTTTATGATCGTTTGTATTTTAGCAGCCCATGTTACCAAAGAAGTTTATCATTTTTTTCTTTTCTTTTTTTTGGAAGTATACCAAAGATGGTTTTTTTATTTAGAAATAATAATTTAATTCATTAATAAAAAGTCATACAATATCTAAAAAAACTTGTAATTTAAATAAATCTAATTAGATCTTTTCTTCGACGTCGCGATCTTTGCATATCGAACATTCTTTGTGTCTTCTTTAACATCGTTGTATATTACAGCCTTCGATACGAGGGGGTCTATAGATATGTTGTAGCCTTGAAGATAATATTCATTTGATTCAGTTGAGTATGCTTGATAAATCTTCCTTTTCTTCGATCCCACATAAATCTTTACCAAAAAAGTAAATTCAAAAAACCTAACACTAAAGTTCATATTATAGGGGTACTAACTCTAAATCTCACAAAGGGAACGGACTCTAAATCCCACTATAGGATAAGCATGTCTAATTGAAATTAAAAGCAAAAAGATTAATTATATGAACAAACTGGATGTACATAGCTAGATTCCCTAAGAAGTTTGGCTATTTTTGGCCTAAGAAAACGTAATTTTATGATCCCTTGAGCTAGATAGGAAAAAAAAGAAGAGAAAAAGGAAGGAGAATGGGGCGGCTAGGGATGGTCATGGGTCTGATCTGGGTCGGGTCCTAAAGGACCCTGACCCAAACTCGTATTTTTATTCGAGGATCCATATCCAACCCAGATCCAATGGGTCTGAAAATTTAAGACCCTTATCCAAATCCGTTGGGTCTGGCGGGTCCAGGGTGCTAAATAGATCCAAAATGGATCCTTAATTTATTAGTTTAATTTTAACGTATCTTTTACACAAACATATATATCTTAACATCTAAAAAAGTCAATAAGCTAATAACTGTTCATTTATTGTTGATGTTTGCTGATGTGTCACACACCTCGTTCCATTTCTCCTCGTTTGTTGCTTTGTTGTTGTTTCTTTGCTTAGAGGAGAAATTTCTGCGTAAGTGAAAATAAGGGGTTAAAAAAAACAACTTAATCTAATATATATAAATAAAGTAGGCTTTTTTCAAGAGCATTTGGCGCGCCACATAAGCAAAGGTATATTTTCGACCAATTAAAAATTAGATTTCTATTTTATTTTGGAATTAAAAAATTCGTTTGCCACCTAAACAAAGTGACGAATGAGATTTAAGAATTTTGCCACGTAAGTATAAACAACGACTATTGATTTATTAGGATTTAATTTATTTAAAAAACTAAAAATTATCTTTTAAAATAATCATCTTTAGATATAGGATTTATATACCTACTATTATAAGATAAATTTTGATAGTGTTTATGATAAGAAATAAAAATTATTCCTTAATTATAATTAAATTAAAATTTGTGATATTTACCATTATAAATTGACGCATTATATGACACCAACAAAATTTCGTATCAATACAAAACCAAACCAAGCAAATTTTGTGTCATTAATTTTGTGTCAGTTTTATTAGGTCATCAATAGCCGGGTAATTCTTAGCCTAATTTTTAAAACCCATGTTTAAATGTATATTTGTGATTATTGCTTAAATTCTGTTTATTTGGGATACTTAATGATTATATGTTTATGTTTTGTTTACTGAATTTTGTTTTTACATGCAAATCTAATTTAATCAGAGAATTATATTCGAGCAAAAATCTTTGGAATATCAAAGTAAGAGTTTCTCGCCTGATGATCCTATTGGATGAGGAGGTATTATATCTTTATAAATCATTTACATTTATTAAATCTTTTAATGAACCTTTTAGTTTTTATCAATTAATTTTATGATTAAAACAAATTTTTTGTGATTTAGGTAGCTTAATTAAGTCATAAAATTAACTTCATTTTTTATTTTAAATTATAGAGTGATTACGTTCATGCCTCAATTAAAGTCAACTTTGTTCTACAATTTTGTTCAAAATTGATTGAAGGAAAAGTTTACTCCATTAGATACTTTTCAGGCGTTACAAATAAGGAGCAATATCGCACACATTGTCAGCGACAACAAAATAATGATTCAATTTTCCAAAATACTGTTGTTTGGGCGATTGAGGACGATGAAAAAATTTCAATGCATAGATTTAATTTTGTATAATTACAATTTTTAGATTAATTTCACAACAATTATTCACTTTCTGGTAAATATTTTAATTTATTTTATAAGACTATAAAGAATAATTTTATATAAATTTTATTTTTGCTAACATGTTCTATTTATCCACTTTTATTAGATGGAAGAGATATGGGTGTGAACAAGTTGGTGATCCTATCGAATTTTTTTTTAATACAAATTTTTTTACATCGAAATATTACATAACTATTATTTTTAATGCTCTTATCAAAATATTTATTAGGGGAATAAATTACATAAAATTAATAAAAAAATTATCCTTAACAAACAATAGCAAAGTAATAAAAAATATTATGAGTATGATCTATTTTTATGAGATTTTATTTATAAAAAACCGTGGGATATTAAGATTTTAATTATTAAAAAAAATTAAAAATTAACTTACGAAATTAATGGTTTAATCTAAATACCCGATTAATAAGATGTTTTTTCATAAAAAATATTTAAAACTTATAACGCAATAAAGAACTTTACCTTCTATAAACATTTTATGTCTAAAATTTGAAAAGACAGATAATTTGTTAGAGATCAAGATATCACAAGAAATATACAAAATGATATATAGATTTGAGAGTTTAATTTCAAGTGTAAAAACCAACGAATAATGATTTAGGATTTAAATTATTTTAAAAATAAAAAAATTATTATCTTTTCACATTAAAGATTTTATCCTAATATGTAATCAATGAAATATCATATTTACAATTTTTTTTTAAAGATATCATATTATTGTCATATAACTAACAACAACAAATAAAGGGTACAAAACAACAATAAATTAAGTCGCATTATAAACTACATTAAAAAAATTATACTTTTGTAATTGGCAATATCCTTTTAATTAAATTGTTATTTGTTTTTATTTTTTTTTTGTCTAAAATTATTAAATTGTAAATAAAATAATTAAAAAAAAAAAAAAAAAACTTAGAGTATATAGGAAAATATCTTTTCTTGAGATATATGTATGAAAAATCGTGCATCGCACAAGCTTTCATCTAGTTATACCAATGAGGAGAAATTTTTTTTGTTAAAGAGAGTGGTGAAGAGGGTTTTTTTTTTTATATATTTTTTTTAATGCATTGGTAGGGTAAAAAAAATTACTCAAAAATGAAAATAAATAGATGAGAAAAGTGAGAAAGTGGGTAGAGGGAAAATGACAAAAATGATGTCAATGCTCTCTCGTCATCCTCTCTCTTTATCCTCTTCATCTTCTCAAGTTTCTTCTCTCTTCAAATTCTGGTGAATATTTTGTTGCTCAGATCTTTAATATGAACATGCTCAACTACTTCGAGCCTTTTGATTCTTTGGCGGTGGAGGCGGCGGATTTTTTAGGGTTCCGTTTTGGCGGTCGTGGTAGCGGCGACTCCTTCAATTCAACCCAATTCAACAGCTTCTACAATCATCCGAGATCAGCTCGCTAAATTCTGAGTACTTTCTTCAAAACCTTGTTGTTCGATTAACGTTCAATATAGGGGTTTATTTATTCGATTTTGCTTTCGATTTTTAAGAATTTTATTTATAATTTCTATGGTTATTAATGTCACAAAATTTTAGGGTTTTTGAAGGGTTTCGTCTGTTGATGGTGGCGGCACCTTCTTGCGAGCCTTATTCCGACCTATGCACCCTTCTCCAGGTTCATTGTGAAGTTCTTCTCCATCAATCAAGGTTTTCCTCTTTCTTCTTTTTCAGTTGCAATCGATCTTAGGGTTTTGTTTGTTTTTAAACTTGAGGTGTTTTTTAGGGTTTTGTATGGCGGTGGTCGCGGCAGATTTTGCAGCAGCAGAAGGAAGACTAACTCAGTTTCAATTTGCACAATTTGTTGAAGACTAAAATCGTTGGCTTCATCTTCTTTTGTTGAGTTTTCCTGAGTTAGTGTATTATTGTAAAAAGTGGGTTGGGTTTTTTTTTTTTTTTTTTTTTCTATTGCTTCTTTTACAGTGTTAGTTTTTGCTCTTTCAGGTTCTCATTATTCCCTTTATTCTTGAGTTTGTGTGTTTATTTAGTGTCATTGATGTTAATTTGATCAGTTTTGCTATTATAGCTGCCTTGTTTTGGTTCTAATGGGTGAATCTACCTTGGTATCTGCTACGTATGCCTGTTTTATAAAGTATTTCTCTGTTTTTTTTCTTAAGTTCGTGTTCCGTTGTAGGAAGTGGGCTGGATTTTTTTCTTCTTCTCATTTTTCATTGCTTTTTTTCATTTTGTAGAAAGTGGGCTGGTTTATCATGTAAGAAGAACGTATGTAGGGTTTGAGCTCATCAAAGGTCAGTCTTTCTTCTGGCAGTGGCGGCGGATTTTGCAGCAGTGGAGGTAAGACCAAAATTGGAAATCTGTTGTATTTTCTGTTCTGTTTTTATTTAGTTTTCTTTGTTTATTTAGGGTTTTCTGTCTATGGTTAGAGTTGTGACTTTTATATATTATAGATTTTCTTTTCCATAGTGAATTTTTTCAGTTTATTTGGTTGTGTGTCAATTCTGTTTTATTTTGATGGATTTTTGTGTAGATTTTGCAATTGACGATACCTACTACATATCTCTTTAAACAAGTTTTCCCTGAATTTTTACCCTTTATTTTAATGCATTTTTGTGCAGATATTGCAATTGACAATATCTGCTACCTAATATCTGCTACCTATGTCTATGTCTCTTTAAAAAGGTATTTTCTTAGAGTCCTGCTACCTATACATTGCTTAGACTTATAGCAATTTAAATTTCACAAGTGCTGATTTTGAATGTACTTTTGTCTTTTCCTATTGTGTATAAGATGAAAGTATCTGATTTGTGAAGGCCTTAGTGGAGCAAAGAAGAGCTTCAGCGTTTCTATGAGGCATATCGCAAGTATGGTAATGATTGGAAGAAGGTTGGCATAACATTTTTGCATTTCCTTTGAATTTTCTAATTTTTTAATGTTTATGTTTGGTTCTAATGGGACAATTATACTTGTGTTTTAGTTTCTGTTATTAAATTGGTGAGTAACGATTCTCCCCTTCTAACGATTGAATAGCTCTGTCAATAAATCTTGGTAATACCATATTGTAACCGGGAAAATTTGACATGTTCTGTAGTTTCTGTTATGAAGTTGGTTAGCCATTTTGGGGTTCTCATTACCTTTTTTTCGTCTTGTTTTTGTTTATTTGAAGTGTGATGAAGTTGATGTTGATTTTTTCAACACAGCAATATACTTGTATATATTGATTGCATTGTCACAAGTACAGTGATTAATGAATTGTTGTTGAACAATCCTAGCATTTATATCAAGTTTATTAGCTTCTTTGAAGTTGCAGTTAACATTAGTGTAATAATATAGCATTCTTTTTGCAAAATAAATCAGTTTAATGCTAATTAGTTGAAGAAAGCTGGCTTTTTTAATTAAATTCATTGGTTGATGATTTTTCATGGTAATTTGTTTGGGTTTTCATTTATCTATTTATTATTAATTTGTAGTGTAAATTGATGGTGATCATCAAGTGTTGATTAGTTTTTTTTTTGTGATTTATAATCTGGATTTCACATATTATGAAACGCAATTGAATTTAAGAGAGATAATTTGGTGCACTAAAAGGAATAAATACCGAAATGGGACTGCATTGTTATCTGGTGCAAGAGGATTTTTTAGGTATCCATTATCGCAAATGCATATTTTGTAATGTGATCGAATATAGTAAGACTATAAATTTATGATGATCATCAAATGCTAATTATTTGTCTATGATTTGTAACCAGGAATTCACTTTGTATGAAAAGCAATTAAACTAGAAACTTAATTTGATGCATTGAAGATAATTAAGTTGTTCATTATATACAAATAACCGCGGTGTTTGTTGCAGGAAGGAGGTAAATAAATATTGAAATGGGACTGTTGTTATTGAATCAATAAAGTGCAGTATACAATATGTCATGACTCATAATCCCTCCTCATCTTTCCTTAAGTATTCTGTACATATGAGCATGATCAATTGATCATATTTTCCATTAACTTGTTCATAATGTTTGTTATAGTGTATTGTTGAAATTGAGCCAGTGTGCTATATGGATAATGAAATAGCCCATGATCATCTCATTGATTATATGGTTGGTGACGCTTTCTTGTAGTTTCCTTTGAATCTTATGTGCTGCAAATTCTGTGCAAACTTCTTTAACATTTTAAAGGTAAGTTTTCAACTTTATTGCTTTTAGTTTATGTTGGAAGCTATGATTGTAGCTATTGTATTTAAATTGTAACTTTTTTTTTTATTATTGAAATTCCAGATTCTCTATTATTTTTAAATTTTTCTTATTGTTGCTATGGTATGGACCCACATGGCAACGCACCTGCCGTACCATAGATCGTTATGTACACCAGAAGGAGCAAGCAGCAGCAGCACCAAGGAGGCAGCAATACATAGAGAGCAAAACAGCAGCAGAACCAAGAAGCAGAAGACAGAACATCAACTAAAGACAGCACACCTTTTGCACTATTGTATTAGTTACCTTTTTAGTGTTAGTCATCTTAGGTTCTATCAAAAGGCAAGTTGACTTAGGAAGTGCACCTTTATTAATCATGTATTTAGAGAAGGGAAAGGAGAAAAGGGAAGGCAACCAAAAAATAGATATTCAGTTAGAGAATTGTAGCTATTAGGGAGATTGATAGCCTCAAGCTATATTGAACTTTTGTAATCTGTTGCCATTGATAATCAAATACCAACTCCTACTTCTGCCTAACATTTTTGTCCACCACGGTAAATTTAGACAGTTGGATCGAATAATAGATTATCTGTTCTATTACAAGTGGTATCAGAGCCGGCGATCATGGTGGCCTCCACTACCCAGCGTCTGGATGCATTAGAATCGCAGCTCGAAGAGATTGAAGGAAAGTTAAACACCCAGGAAACATCGATTGGCAGAATTGTGACCGAGGCAGTAAACCAAGCCATGGACACTGCTAGAGAAACATGCAAGACGGTTCACCATCCTGTTTGATAACGAACGGAGAAAACAAGAGAACATCGGCCAACTCGAAGGCCGAATTGAGCGCTACTAGAATCACCAAGGAACCCAAAAGACGGTCGAAAGGAAAGAGAATGAGAAGCTTCGGGAAGAGGTACGAGCGGCAGTGGGAGCAAAACAAGGAACTCATCTTCAACCACCCATGGTCCGGTTATACGGCGACAACAACCATATGCACGGAGAAAACGAAGTACCGACACCCCGGAGAAATGACCCAGGAGGGTTGTTTGGATGAAGACGAGGATGGGATCTGGAAAGATACGAGAGACCCTAGGAACGGCCCAGAGGGTGGATACCGGAAGTACATGAAGTTGGAGATGTCGGTCTTCCTCGGGCAAGATCCGGATAGTTGGCTAATAAGGGCAGAAATGTATTATGAGTTCTACCAGCTGGCGGAGAGAGAGAAATTGGAGGCAGCGGTAGTGGCAATGGACGGACCGAGCGGCGTCGGCCGGTGATGAGGTGGGCGGATTTAAGACAGCGCATACTCCATGAATTCCGACCTTTCACACTCCATGAACAATGGCTAACTGTAGGATAGGATGGAATGGTGGAGGAATACCGTCAGCACTACATAGATCTGGCAGCACCACTCGACGGGATTCTTGAGGAACTAATGATGAGCTAGTTTGTCAATGGCCCGAAGGAGGAAATAAAAGCTGAACTGTGGACACATGACCCACCCACCTTGGAACAGGCCATGGAGCTGGCTGGGCGGATTGAGGCCAAGCACCAAATACAGCAAGGGAAAAGGGAAGCTGGGCTGACTCGTAATGGGCAAGCCCAAGTTTCCTTCCCACAGTGAGGAAGTAGTAGCAAAAGTGGGGTAAGCCTCATAAGCACTTATGGCCTTCCCAATCAAACAGGCCCACCCAGAACTTGGCCCAAATCGCCAGAATCCCAAGGATTTGTTAATATGAACAAGACTCATTCAATTTTATCCCAGCGAAACACCACAAACGCGAGCACGAGGAGGCTGTCAGAGTCATAGCTTAAAAGCTTCAAGAAAGAAGAGCCAAGGGGCTCTGTTTCCGGTGTGATGAACGTTGGGGGGTAGGACACTGATGTAAAAGGAAGGAGTTAAGTGTCCTACTGTTGGCCGGAGAGGAGGAGGTGGAAGAGGAAGAGGAGAAGCCCGCGGAAGAGGAGTTAGACAAAACCACCATCGGAATCTTCATGTGCTCGGTGGTGGGGCTGTCAAATCCGAAAACAATGAAGCTACTAGGGGCGGTTCACGGGAGAGAAGTCATAATTATGGTCAACACCGGAGCAACACATAATTCTATCGCGGCTACCGTAGCGGAGGAGCTGCAACTTCCAGTGACGGGTAGCGCGAAATTCGGAGTGGCGCTAGGCAATGGCGATATAGTACGTGGCAAGGGGGTATGCAAGGGAGTTCCTGTGAGCTTGGCTAGAGGGGTAACCATTAAAGAAGATTTTCTACCCTTCAAGCTCGGCAATGTAGAAATAATTCTCGGGGTGCAGTGGCTCGAGAAATTAAGAGCCATGACAATCGACTAGCGCACCCATGTGATGCGTTTCACCTTGGAAGGGAAACATATAATGCTAGTGGGAGACCGATCTCTGGAAAAATCGCAGGTAACACTCAGGGAAATGATTCGGACCTTGAGTAAAACAGGAGAAGGGTTGTTAGTGGAGGTAAACCGCTTGGACCGTGAAGAGGAAGAATCAGGGGCACCCTAGAATACTTGGCTGAAGTGTTAGAGGAATATGGCAGAATATTTGAAATGCCTATCGGGTTACCACCGCATAGAGGGCACAAGCACTCGATAACACTTAAGGATGGGAGCAATCCCGTAAGTGTTCGACTATACCGGTACCCTTAAGTTCAGAAAGACAAGATAGAACGGCTCATGTAGGAAATGCTTGAAGCTGGCATAATCATTCCCTCCACCAGTCTATTCTCAATCCTTGTTTTGCTAGTGAAAAAGAAGGACGGATCATAGCTTTTCTGTATGGATTACCGAGCTCTCAACAAGGAGACGGTACCGGATAAATACCCCATTCCGGTCATAGATGAACTCCTTGACGAACTACGTGGAGCAAGAGTGTTCTCTAAATTTGACTTGAAGTCCGGTTATCATCAAATTCGGGTAAAATCGTGGGACACCCACAAGATCGCATTTCGCACTCACGAAGAACACTACGAGTTCCTTGTCATGCCATTCGGATTAACTAACACTCCGATCACCTTCCAATCATTAATGAACGATGTCTTCCGATCGTACTTGCGAAAATTCGTGCTAGTCTTCTTCGACGATATTTTAGTGTGTAGTCAAGGGAAGGAGCAACATAAGCGGCATTTGCAATTGGTATTAGAGAAATTAGCAGAGCACCGATTGTATGCCAACAAAAAGAAATGCGAGTTCGGAAGAGTAGAGGTGGCCTACTTGGGGCATATTATATCGGAGGTGGGAGTATCCATGGACCCCGAGAAAATACAGGCGATGATGGAGTGGAGGGTGCCTCGAAATTTGAAAGAGTTACGAGGATTCTTAGGGCCGACCGGTTACTGCCGGAAATTTGTGGCCCGATACACCCACATTGTAGGACCACTAACATCACATCTCAAGAAAGATAGTTACGGGTGGACCGAGGAGGCAACGACAGCGTTCCAGAACTTCAGTAGGGCCATGACTACTGCTTTGGTCTTCGCGATGCCAAACTTCACTAAAACGTTTGTGGTAGAAGCCGACGCTTCGGGTTTTGGGTTAGGAGCAGTTCTGATGCAAGACGGGTGACCTATAGCCTACTACAACAAGTTATTGGGAGTTCGAGCCCAAGAAAAGTTCATCTATGAGAAGGAGTTGATGGCCACTTGCCTAGCAATCCTCAAATTGGAAACATTATTTGATGGGGAGGCACTATGTAGTACGCTTCGATCAACAAAGCTTGCGCCATATCACACAACAAAGGGAAGTTGGAGGGGAATATCAGCGATGGATGAGGAAGTTATGTAGTTTTGACTTTGAGGTTCAGTACAAGCCGGGAGCTTCGAACAGGGTGGCTGATGCTCTGTCTCGCAAAGGGGCAGCAACAGCCGAACTTTCAGCACTGACCTTGTGGCAGCCAGTGGATTGGGGGGAGTTAGAGAGGGAGCAGGCCGAAGATAGTTGGACACAAACTATAAGGCAACAGCTAGCATCCAGGGGAGAAGGTCCGAAAGGGTTCATGATGGAGGGCAGTAGGCTGCTGTATAAGGGGCGTTGGGTGCTCCCTCGTAATTTAAAATTCATACCGTTACTCCTTAAGGAGTATCATGATACACCGATCGGGGGACATGAAGGGGAAGTCAAAACATACCTCAGATTGTCCAACGACTAGTTTTGGACCGGAATGAGAAAGGATGTAGCTTCCCATGTGCGAAAGTGTGTTGTATGCCAACAAAACAAGAGTGATCAACGAAGTCCGATGGGCCTTTTACAACCCCTACCTATACCAGAGAAAATATGGGAGGATATATCGATGGACTTTGTAGAGGGGTTGCCGGTTTCTAAAGGGGTGGGCACGGTGTTGGCAGTAGTAGATCGCCTTTCAAAATACGCCCACTTCATTGGATTGAAACATCCGTTTATTGCATTGAAGGTGGCGGATTATTTCTTTCGAGAGGTGGTCAAGTTACATGGATTTCCCTCCTCGATTGTCTCGGATCGCGATCGAGTTTTTATGAGTACTTTTTGGAGGGAGCTGTTTCGTTTGCAAGGCACCCATCTTAAACGGAGCACCGCATATCATCCCTAGACAGATGGGTAGACAGAGATCGTCAACAAGGGGTTGGAGTCATATTTGCGATGTTTTATAGCAGGGAAGCCGAAGGAATAGGCCAAATGGCTACCATGGGCAGAATATTCCTATAACACATCAACTCCCCCCGCCACTAAAATGTCCCGGTTTCAGATTGTGTACGGCAGGGAACCACCCAAATTGCTAAGAGTTGGTGGAGGGCACAACGTAGTAGACAATTTGGAGGAATGGTTGAAGGAGAAGGATGTGATATTGGAAGAGATGCGCGTTAACTTATTGAAGGCACAAAAGATTATGAAAATGAACGCCGACAACGGAAGAAGGGAAGCTGAGTTCGAAGTTGGGGACTATGTGTTCCTGAAGTTAAGACCATACCGTCAGAAATCCTCCGCTCGTAGACCGTATGAGAAGCTTGCTGCCCGTTTTTATGGTCCATTTCAAGTGTTGAAGAGAATTGGCAAGGTAGCCTACAAGTTAGCACTTCCCAATAACTGCAGCCTACATTCGGTGTTTCATGTGTCTCAGCTGAAACAGGCGGTGGGAGATAATCATAGAAACCCCTCCATCCCTGAACAGCTTTCACTAGAACTGAAATTATTGGTGGAACCAGAGGCATTCTTAGGGGCCACACGGAAGGGGGGAATACAGTGGAAGTACTAATACAGTGGAGCGGGCTGCCACGTTCTGAGTCCCCTTGGGAGGACGCAACAGTCGTAGCACAACGCTGTCCTTCCTTCCACCTTGAGGACAAGATGGTGCTTGACGGGGGGAGTGATGTTATGGACCCACATGGAAACGGACAGCAACAACAGCACCAAGGAGGCAGCAATACATAGAGAGCAAAACAGCAGTAGAACCAAGAAGCAGAAGATCGAACATCAACCAAAGCCAACACACCTTTTGTACTACTTTTGTATTAGTTACCTTTTTAGTGTTAGTCATCTTAGGTT